ACAACCACACCCACACCCACACATAAAGGCCATTCCAGCACAATGGCAGGCATTCGATGTGTTACCATGACAACCACCCTAACGGCTAGGGGAATTATAGGCCACTATTTACTTTCTAATGATCGTTTATGGCAAAAAAATAAAAAGATAAATAATAATAATAATAAAATAATGATAATAATAATAATAATAATAATACTCCGCACAATTTGTACATCAGCGTACAAATAATTTGCGTCTGTATTTTATGGAAAGAAAACGTTACGTGTACCTGTGACAATTACAGATAGGAAGTTTGTCTTTTCCGGCAGTTTCATTATTACGAATATCACTACTGACAGTAGTGTTAGTAATTCAGGTTATCGTTGCGGTATTAGTTATCCTAGTAACTGGTGTAGTTGTATTAACAGTAGGACTAATGTAACAGTGAAATAGTAAAAGACAAGGCAAGTAGAAATTATAGTAACAACAACAATGATAATCACAGTATTAATGTCAGTATAATAATAATTTGATTAATAAATAAAGTAAAAGTTGTAACAAACATGCACAGTAGGATGCTCATTCAAACCACTATAAATCATTGTTTCTATGATTATCATTATTATTATTATTATTATTATTATTATTATTATTATTATTATTATCATCATTATCATTACTAAAACTATTATTATTATCATTACTAAAACTATTATTATTGCACTACTATTATTACTATTGCTGTTACTATCATCATTACTAATATCATTACTGTTCTCATTATCATGAAAATCATCATCATTATCATTAGCTTTTTAACATTACAACCTACCATTAGCTTTTTAACATTACATCACATAATGAATAAACCACAGGCAGCTTTGTGGTTTCGCGTCGACGGGAACGCAGACAAGAAGGCAACGGAAACAACGTAATCAATCGATGTGACGTCATAGGAGCTTGTTTTGATTTGGTACGACCTTGGGAGTTCATATGAGGTGAAAATGAGTCACGTGATTTCTGTTTTTGAATACTCTTTTACGTTTATTTTATTTCATCTTTATTTTTTTTCTTTATTCGCGAAGGGAACGCTTTGAAAGGTCATGCAAGGTTAGGCGTGAGTCATGCGCGTGTTCCTCTATGCATGGGTGACGTCATACCTTGAACACGTCTGCATATGTGGGTAGAGAAGAGAGGGAAGTCTCGAAAAATAATCGTGGTCCATTATTGCAGTGTCTTTCACAGATCTGGGCAAATAACCTTTTCATTAATATCCTATCACCAGCTATTTATATACGAGAAATTGCGTGACGAATGATTCAAAATATTATCAACGATCACTGTTTTTTGTGTTTTTTCAATCTGTTTTAATTCCACCTTCGTTCACCTGTTTCTAAAAATAACAGTTCATAATGGAGCTAGCGTAGGGGGGGGGGAGGAAGTACAGTACGCAAATGCTTTTTTCTCTTTAATGAATTCCCTCTTTTCTCTCTCTCTAATCGATGCCTTGAAAGCTATTACGAAATACAGCAGATAGCAGTTCGACCCACGCGCTAATACGAGCACAATTAGGGAAGATGTTAAGAGTGGCTTCTTGGAAATAATGAGGGACTTGTTTACGCTAACAGTCCATTAGCATCACGAGAATATAATTGAGCCAATGAGAATGGATCATTTTTATTTAATCGCTTTTCAAACTCATTTGCGCGATTTTTTTTTTTGTATATAGATATCTCATTATTAGCACACGTATATGTTTGATTATCCTATTGTCAACTCTGAGGGCATTATCATATCAGAACATCTACCAGTAGATAATGCTTTGGTTATATCTCATCTCTCTCTCATTCCACCCATTTGCATATGTCATTGTCTATCGCTCTGATTGTTTATTTGTCTATCTGTTTGTTACTCTGCCAGTTTTTTCTTTTGCGCGCGCGCGCGTGTGTGTGTGCGTATGTGTATGTGTGTGTGTGCGTGTGTGTGTGTGTGTGTGTGTGTGCGTGCGTGCGTGTGTGTGTGTGTGTGTGTGTGTGTGTATGTGTGCGTGCGTCCGTGTGTGTGTGTGTGTGTGTGTGTGTGTGTGTGTGTGTGTGTGTGTGTGTGTGTGTGTGTGTGTGTGTGTGTGTGTGTGTGTGCGTGCGTGAGCGTGTGCGTGTACGTGTGTAACGCTCTTTGCCTATTTTGTAGTTTTTAGGCGCCTGTAATAAATCACACCATTTCGACGACCTTCGCTTGTTTCTGTGGTAACACGAGTAACTTCCCGTTTATCCTTGCGCTACATACTTTTCGCGGTTTAGATAAATTGTGTAAATAATTACGGTTCTTAGTTCTTTGTGACTCAAACGTTTATCTCGAGGTGTTTCCATTGTTAAAATTCCTTAACGGTCCTTCTCAGTTTGTTCAGGGATACGCTTGACAGAAAAAAATAAGAAATAGATTAAAAAAAATAAAAGTACACCCTCGAGCTAAACCTGTGGTGACTCAAGGAAATGCGAAGAGAATAACAACAAAAAAA